AAAATTCTAAGCTATTACAAAAGGCGCGGGTCCACATCGCCAAAATTAAACCAGGACCCGATTTGACAGGAAAGTAAAGAATTAAAATGCAAGAAAATTAATTACAAGGCTTTGGGAGAGATACATAAATATTAAGCGAAAAAGAAATAAGCACGCGAATTAAATAAGAATTAAACGAGGGCGTTGGACCCTTTTTTGCAAAATTTAATAAAATGATGAAATTGATTAATTAATTAAAAAGGAAAAGAAATTGTTTTGGTATATTTTGGTATTTTATGATTTTAATGGGAAAAAGAATTAAATGCGAGTAAACCTAATTCTACAATTTTTATTTGTTAAGAAAAGCATTAAATTTTAACCTAAAATTAACCCTAATTAATTTACATGCAATTTAATTATAAAAATAAATATTTAATATTTAATTATTATGGACTAAAAAGAAAAAGAATAAAAATTATCATAAACCCTAATTCTACATTTTTTAGATTTTTATTTAAAAAAATTAAGATTAACTTAAATTAAAACTAAATTAATTAATGCAATTTACTCATGAAAATACTAAAATAAAATATTTACTATTTTTCATCTTTTCTGATTTTTTATGGTGCTTTGTGTTTTTTATGAAAATAATAAATTAATTAAGAAAACAATAATTTAAAAGAAAATAGAAATAATAAAAAACAAAGAAAGTAAAAAAAAATTAGCAAACCTAGGGGGTCTGCCCCTAATTTTGGAGGTGAAGCCCAGCAATTCAGGGCCCAATTCCTTAAGCCTCGTTGACTTTGACACTAGGGTGTGAGGTGGTTGACTGCAGTCCATGGTGCGCTTCAGATTATGGCCGTTTGATCTATCTCCATAGGCACGTGGATGGCCAGGTTTCATGAATGTATGGTACTCCCTTACGCTGACGCTGCATATGAACATTAAACGAAGAAAAATATGAAAGGGGGTGAGGACCTGGGGCTCGAACCCAGGTCCTGAACGTTACCAGCGTGTGCGCCTGCCACTGAGCTATTTCGTTTATCTGTAAATTAAATAACAAATGAATATAATAAACAAAACAATGCGTTAATGCTACTTTTTCGCGCGAACTTTCAAACCAGCCAACCATCGCCTGCCACCTAGTCGTCTTCTCCATTGCTTATTTTTTTCCTGAAAATATAAAACATTGGCCACGGTTTTTCAAATGTTCCCTTAGGCTAGTTTCTGAAAAATAGCGACTAGCCCAGGGATCATCATAAATTAGGCGCGAGGGTGGATTCCTGATCGTCCAAACGCACTGAATTGAATGGCCTTGGTTTCACACTCCAATTTTTCCTCATTCAAAAACCCCCAATTCGGAGCTTCATGAACCCTAATGAACAACAATGGCATAATCGTATATAGCATATAAAAACTCAATCAAGGTAGATGGTTAGCTTCAGAACATGTCAATTAGTATGAATGCATCAAAAAACGCAATGAAAATGCCTAAATATGGAAACACGATTATGCATATTATTTGAAACAGTTTGAACCCCTTGTACCAATTCTGGGCGTGTAAAGGTTGGAAAGTTATCCAGTTAGCTTCAGTGAGACACGAGGAAGCTTTTGCAATTGGTCTTGTGCTCTGAATCGACCCCTAACCCTATTTTCAGTTTTGAGTTTTTAAGCAAAATTTTCAAGTTTGTGTCTTGGTCTCTAGCGCAGCTTAATGGTTCCTCTTACTAGGGTTGCATTCTGAACTTATGTAAGAGTGAATTAGGTCAAGAAATTTGATCAAAATCCATGCATTAATGGTTTGGAAGATTTGATTTTCAAGCATTAGTTTTTCAATCTTTTTTCATGCACTTTTTGTACAAATCATATCCAATCAATTCCAATTCTTCCATATCTGATCATGCACGAATTTTTGAAGATATTATATGCACAAAAAGATTTGAAATAGTATGTTAAGTATTTTTCATGTATTTAATTGATTTAAATGAATTATTATTAATAAAAATTCAAATAAATAAATAAATAAATGAAGAAAAACTTCCCTTTGGGCCAAGTGGTCGTGCACATGCCTTGGATGATGAATTGTGGAAGAAAAATGGGCCCATTAGCAATTTTAAGTCATTTGAACCAATGTTGACTTTTCAAAATATCCAAAAATTTCCCAACTTCCACAAGGCATAACTTGCTCAATTTTTAAGCTTTGCTCATGTTCTTGGACATTTTGGAAATGTCTTTGAGTCCTATAACCAATGTCTTTGGTCCCATGTCATTTTGATTTACCAATCTCAAGTTATGGCCTTTGACTTAAAGTCCCTTTTTGTTGACTTTTGAAAATGACCTATAATGTTGAAATTGATAACTTTTTGTGAGAGCATTTCTTGGACTTGAAGTGTGAAGATGAGTTGTAGGAAATGTCTTTCTCTTCAAAATGAGCTTTGGATGGAATTTTTCTGATAATCCATGTGAAAGTTATGCCCTGGTCAATTTTCAGTTGACTTTTTCAGCTGTCCAAATAAGGAAACTTTTGCATCTTGATGATTTTTGAGCCAAGCTTTGAGAATCATGATCAAGAATTGATCAAATGATGTTTGTGGCTTAAAAATGAGATGTTGACCAAAAATTTGGACTTTTGACTGTCAAATGACCATTTTGCCCCTACAGTTGACTGTAGTGCAATTAGGGTTTTTGACTGTGCAATTTTGTGCTGAAAGTCTTGAAACTTGATATGAGGATGCTTGACCATATTTGTAGGCATGTGGGACTTGATTGGACCTTTGGAAACTTCATTTTCTTGATCAGAACCAAAACCCTAATTTTGACTGTTCATGAGGCTTTTACACTGTGCAACCCTTGGGGAATTTTGAAGCATGACTTGGCAATTTCTTGAAGAATATGGGAGGGAAAATTTTGGGGTACAACACACATGAAGGATGCAAGAATAATTTTGAGATACTTAAAAGGATCGATAAACTGTGGAATACTATTTCGACGAGACTCTGAAAACAAAGAAGCTACAGTTACTTGTTTTTCAGATTCTGATTGGTGTGGAGAGAAGGAAGATCAAAGAAGCAAAACTGGTTATTTCTTTCAAGTCTTTGGTTCCCCAATATCATGGTGCTCAAAAAAGCAACCTATGGTGGCATTGTCATCGTGTGAGGATGAATATATAGCAGGATCTTATGTTGCATGTTAAGCAATTTGGATCAGATCTGTGTTGAAAGATATCGAGGTCGAAATGAAAAAAATTCTAGTGTTGCAGATCGACAACAAGTCAACCATTGATCTTGCAAAGAATCCAGTTTTGCATGGAAGAAGTAAGTATATCGAATCTAGATTCCACTTATTGAGGGAAAAGGTAAATTGAGATGAACTTGAAGTAAAAACATTGCTGAAGTGAAGCACAATTGACTGACATTTTCACCAAAGGATTGAAGATCGACAAATTCCTGAATTTGAGAAAAAAATTAGGAATAGTTCAAATCGACATGACTAGCTTAGGTTCGACAACTTGGATTATGGGAGGTATATTGAAATATTATCTATAATATTAGATATAATCTAAGTTGTGTAATTCAAACTCAAATCCAATTAGGGTTCGTTAGCCTACTTAGTGTACAAATTAGTTGTATATAAATAAACTAGTTTGTAAATCAGTTTGTAACAATTCAATTAAATAATACAATCCTTATTTTCTTATTTTCTTATTTTCTCTCTTTCTCCCCTCACTAAAAATATCTCACGCACTAACAATTTCAAGTCTTAGTTTAGTTATTGAGTTGAATTGAATTGCTAACAAAATTTTATCGAACTAGAAAAAATTGTGACAAACTCGAGTCAAATTTTTTTTTAAAGTTGGACCAACTCTTATTTTTCATCAAACATTTCATTTCAATTCAAGTTCTTTATTACATCATTTACTTAATCACAAATTTACTTTTGAATCATTTACTAATCAACAATTTACTTTAAACAAATTTAGAATTTCAATCTTTTAATTTCATATCATTTTGCTTTAAAACTTCTAAAGTTCAGTCATCTTTCACATCCAAGCCTTTTAATTATACAAAACATTGACCTTTAAAACTTTCTTTAACCAATTTCACCCTTAAAAGCAAGGATTTCAAAATTATTACCCCCCATAGACATTAACTCTACCTATCAACTTGTTCAAACTCTCACACACACATTTATTAAACATTTATTTGTATTTTAGATTAGTTTGACTTTACTTAAACAAAAACAGAAAAAATTAACATGTATCCCAAAACATAAGATAATTGTTAATAAATTATCTGTAAAAATATTTTCTTAAAACGCGTGTATTCAATATTTTAAAACTTTAAATATAATTTTATTATATTTAATTATATTTAATTTTTTTTATTATTATAATACCTCTAACATGTACCCTTAATTCAAATGAAAAAAATACTCATAAACACTTAACATAACAAATTACATGTGGATGATTTTTATTCGTGCTACATCATTATATCTACAAAATTCTCCAAAGAAAACACTAGGTGTCACCCACCAATTATTAAACATCCAACAAAAAAGTTGGTTCTCCATCTTAATCATTCGATTAAAACTTTTTGCATACTTAATTTTTAAAACTCTTGCCTGATAGAAAGAAACATTCAGTCTCATCATCCAACATAGGAAAAAAAAGACTAACACCCGTATCATTCATTTCAATGTTATACCAAATTAATATAACTAATAGTGCCCCGTTTGACATGATAATAGTACATTACAAGATAAACTGCTCCGTTTGACATGTTAAACCAAATTAATAACTATGAATCTAATTAATCTATCTAATTCATAGAAGCATTCAAGCTAAGAAAACTAAAATTAAAACCCATAACATAATAATAAACTAGAAAAGAAAAAGAAGAGTATTTTAAAAAGGAGAATGCATCATTCTTGTTGAAAACGGTTGAAAGCTGAAAAGGTGTAACACAATTTAAGACTAAACCAAATTTAGAGGTTTGGCTTTTATTTTTTCTTTCTTACCATCACTGTCTGCAAGCAACTTCTAAATTTCCATGCGTCATGAGAATGGATTTATAGATCTGAATAATCATCTTCTCATCGTATTCTTTCGGTGGGGCTCTATTGAACCCAATATCACCGGTGGGTCCGGTAGACAGAGCCCCACCAAATCCCCCGGCTGAGCCACTCACGGTCATGATCCGTGAGTTGGCCAGACCCATCATCATTCTGACATACGCGTCTCTGACGCGTATGAGGAGTTTCTTGGGAGAAGGGATTCTGTTGATACGGATCTTGGGTGATAGCTTGATCTTCCATCTCCAAAACCGAGCTTTTCGGGTTTGGGAAGCTCCAAGTTCCACCTTGTTTGTTCTTCTTCTATGAGTTGATCCGTTAATTCTTTTGTATCCTTTTCTTTCCCAGTACTCCTTTAAACCCTTGTAAGCACTAGCTGTGATTCCCTCCATATTTGTTGTTGTTGTTGTTCTTGTGTTTGGGTAGAAATATGAAAAATTGGTAAATGGGAGTGGGTGAGAGATTGAATGAAATATTGAAATTAGGTATAGGTATACATGCAGAGAGAGGAATAAGACATGGTTATGGAAGCTATCTCTTCTGGCTATGTTAATATAATAATGTTAGATAATATACTAATAATTAAGGTTGGCATAAGAAAATGGTTTGGGGGGAGAGTAAATACGTGAGGTGGGGGTGGTACAATAAATGCGACAAGAACGTAGGTAGATGCATTAAATAACGAGGGGGTCATTTTCCTTGAGTTTAAAGAAATGAGATAGAGATCACACACGAGGAATGGTTTTTCACATCAGAAGGAAGCTTTTCTTTACGTTTCTAAAATCTAGATATTAATTATGAGGGGTGATATTCGGATGTATGAGGTGTTGGTTGTCATGTTTTGGGTTTGCAAATCATTAATGGTTTATTAGTTGTAGTGCTTCCTCGATCCTATTTATTTATTTGTATTGAAAATAGATTTTCTAACTTTCAATTCTCTATTTTTTTTAACTTTCTTTATTTCTTTTATAATTTATTTTCTCTCATATTTTTTTCCCTCTGAAATAAATATTATCTATCTTTTACTTAAAATTATTTTACTTTTCCTTCAATAAAATTAGAGGATCATTTCTTATCATCTTAAGAGAAAATCCACTAAAAGAAAATATTTATATTGTTAGATATACGCATGATTTTTTCCATTAAAAGATAAAATAATAGTGTAAAAAACAATATTTTAAGGGATTCTCATAAAAATATTAGATTCGGTTTATTTTAAGTGTTTATTGGTTTTATGAAATATCTTTAAAGTTCATTTTTTTGTTTTTAAATGTATTTTATGAAAATAAAAATAAAATAGGTTAAAAGTGAACATGACATTAGATGAATTAATTAGACAAATTTGACAAATTTGTTGATTTTGAATTTGTTAAAAGATAGATCGAGCAGATTTTTGGATACTCGAATGCTACATAAATGATTTACATGGAAAATTGATTACTAGTAAAAGTAATGTGTCATTGAAGACATCAAAATCATATGACAAACTCATGACATTATGGAGTCCAGTTACTAATTGGGATTCAACTCCTTTAAGACGTGGCTATTTTGAATTTTTCATTAAAATCAAAGGAGGATCTCCTATAGGGTCATGGAATGTGAAACTCTCGTTCTTACGCTTATCTGCATGGACGCCAAATATTAGACCTGAGAATTTGAAGATTGCATATGTTCAATTGTGCCTGAGACGCATGGTTTGTCATTAGAGTATTGAGAACCAACTATTTTATTTGCAATTGCTACTAATATTGACACTCCTTTATCAGTTGATGAGCTTACAAGAAAAAAAATGTTGGAGCATTTTGTACATGTGCAAATAGACCTTAACATGTTAGATACTCATTATGATAGTTTTGTGGTGGAACGAGAGGGTTATGCGTTCTTTGTTGAATTAGAATACGAGAGGGTTATGCGTTTTTTGTTGAATTAGAATACGAGAGTTTACCTCTTTTTATGATCATTGTGTGTGTGTTGGTCTTAGTATTGACAAATTTTAGGAGTTGAAAGGCAAGAATGCTGATAAGTCACTAATTAAACAATTTACAAGATACACGCCTAAAAATTTCAAACAAATAATATCAGTTAATAACAATGTGAAAGACATAGAGAATGGTGAATCAGTAAAGGTCATAGTAAATGACGACTCTGTAAATTTGAATAAGGTGGGAAACTATACTCTTGATAATGACATATAGAAGGATGACTTTGTTGTGGCCATTCAGCCAGAGAATGAGATTAATGCTAATGAGGAGCATTTATCAGAAACATACTCTTTGAATGAAGAAGAAATCATAGTAGAGACTGATAATGGTTTGAGTGAAAATTTGGTGATTGAGAAAGGAATAATTGAGGATAGAAGGGAGCAATCTAATACTAGTATTATGGTTATGGAAAATAAAAGTAATAATTCAGTGAGAGATTCATGTGATGGTTTGTATTTGGAGAAGAATAATAACCTTTGGGACATTGAAGACAATCCTTGTAAGCCACAGCAAGAAGAATTTGTTGTGGTCAAGAAAAATGGTAGGAAAAGGCATAAACTTACTCAACCAAGAATGGAAATTAGAACTCGAGCCATGTCGGGTAAACACAACACCACTCAATGAAAGCCATATATTGGAATGTTAGAGGAGTAGGAAATCTTGATACTAGGTCGGCTATTAAAATCTATGTGATCAACAAAAGTCTGACTTCCTTTTGATTGTTGAACCATTGATTCCTTATGCTCATTTCTCTGCTGAGTGTCTTAAACAAATCAAACTTAAGAGATTTGCATTAAATTTAAACAAAATCATGATTCAAACACATGGGCTTTTTGTACAATAAATATAAATCACATTATGTTGAGTTTATATAACAATATGTAACTTTTTATATAGTACTGGGTCAAACTAAATTCTTCATTGTCGTTGTATATGCAAGTAACTTTCATATGATTTAGAGATAATTATGGAATGAATTTACCGATCTTCAACAGACCAATTCTGCCCCTTTCTGCATGCTAGGTAATTTCAATATAGTTATTGATTCCCACGAGAAATTATGTAGATGCCCTCCAAACAAAACTTCTACTAATGAGTTTTTTAGTTGGACAAATCAAAATGAACTTATGTTTCTTGACACTAATGGTAGTTATTACATTTGGATCAATGAGAAAAAGATGATGCTTACTCTTCTGTTAGGCTTGATAGATCCATTTGTAATCATAATTGTCTAAATAATTGGAACATGGTCAATTACTCCACTTTGATCAAAAATCACTTAAAATATTATCTTATTCTTCTCCATTGTGATAATGATGAGTTTGATTTGGCTAGGTCATTCAAATTTCTGAAGGTTTTGACTCTAGATTATATACGAAGACAACTGATTATTGATAATTGGAATATTAGTATGACTGGTTACCCTATATTTGTTTTATCTACTAAATTGATATCTCTTAAGCCTATTCTTAAGAAATGGAACAAAGATATATTTGAAAATATTTATCTTAAAGTCACTCAAGCTATTGATAAAGTTAATAGGATACAAAGTTTGGTTAATGATGCAAGTTACAATGATGATATAGGATTGAAGGAAAAATGTCCAACTTTTGTTAGATAAGACATTCACTAGTACAGAAAGGACATTTAACCATGTTTAGGTGAAGGGTATTACCACGGGTGGAGGTCCGTGGTAAAGTAGGATGTGATAATAAGTACGCTATTTATCATCACGAATTGGAACCCATGGTAAAAACACAGTGGCGCTCTACGTATCACCATAATTTATTATGATAATTGTAGTAAAAGATAGAAGTCAAAGGTTCAATTCCCAAGACAACATTTTGGTTATTTTCTCAACTTTTCACCATGGTTGTTCTTTCTAGACGTAGTAAAAGACTCAGCGCACTACTTTTAACTATAATTTTATCTTTCAACCATGGTGACATGTCCATATGAGTTTATTATAACATATGTGGAATGCTTATTTCACCAACTACTCGATAAACATATAACATTTTGATCTGATATAGAAATTAATGATTTGACAAATTAATTTATATTAGAATAAAATGTTTATTGATCATTGTTCTCCTAGTTTTCTTCATTTCATTCTCCGTATCTTACTTTTTGAGTGTTATAACTAAGTTCAATGCTTCATTTTCTACTAGTTCATTGAACTAGTAAAGAAGGAAGTATTGATTGAAGAACTACATGCATTAAACTAAATTCTAACTCTCAAAGAGGGAGATACGTAGAATGGAAGGAAGAAAGCTCAAAAAATTGACCAATGTAAGTTGTTTTCTAACATAAGTTCATTTTTCATATTATAAATTTCTAATTCAATTATAAAGGTTATTTGTTAGTGACAGATTAGTAAAACACTCAAATCACATATGACATAATAAACTCATCATATAAGAAATGTTGTTTTAACATAGTGAAAGCTGCAATGTATAAGGTATATCATTAAAAATCAATAACATACAACATATAAATCATCATCAATAATATCAACAACATAAAACATCTATCAACAAAAACTAAATCAGCAACAACATACAACTTTTATAAACAACAAAATACCTTAATCAAAATACAACATATATCAACAAAAAATAAATCATCAACAATATACAAATTTTATCAACAACATACAACATATATCAACACAAACTAAATCATCAACATCATACAATTTTTATCAATAACAACATACCTTAAAAAACATACAACATATATCAACAAACACAAAATCATCAACATACAACTTTTATTAATAACAACATACCTTAAACAACATACAATATATATCAACAAACACAAAATCATCAACAACATACAAATTTTATCAACAATAATGTACATTAAACAACATATACACTGCTACAAAAAGTCATTGTAACATCGGATGCGAAATATGTTTTACCTCGGCAACCCAGACGAGGTTAGTAAGCTCGTCATGAAAAGTCTCCACTTAACACCTTGGTGTTTTAAAAACCGAGGTTAAAATTGAAAAGGTCATGGATTCGATCCATAGGAATTGCATATATTTTATTTTCTATATTTTGTTGTGCGCTTCATATAGCCATCGATTTTGATTACATTTCAAGGTAATAAGGTATTAATTTACCTCGATTTTAGATAAAAACTGAGGGGTTTAATATGAAGCTTTTTTGCTATATTTATCAATTTCATTGGTCCCTATATCATTTTTTACCTGTATCATTTTCACTGGCATATATCATATCATTATAATAAATCTATTAGTTTGCCAGTATTATTTTTTACACAGAAACTACAAAATATGTAACAGAATATCATATATCATTTCAACCCAAGTGCGCAAATTAACATTGTTATCATCAAGACAAAATAAGAAAAAATTTGTTCATATACAAAATAATAAGAAACCGACATAAACTACTGTTCTTGTTCTCGAGCTTCATAATGAGATAAGAAGACACTCACCCAACGTGATCGGATGTCATTAATTTCCTTTGTTGAATGTGGTTTTTGGTTGTTAAGCTCCTACAATTAGAACAAAATTTAAACTTTGATTATCTAAAAACAAAACAAAAAATAGTTTAAGAAGTATGGATAACATGAATTAAGCTAATACCTTATTCTCCACTCATCCTTGTGTAATTCCATCTGAGACAATATGGAGCATATATCTCATAACATAATATCTACAAGAATGGACGTCGGTTTGTTTTTTCCACTAGAAATATAACACATATTAATGTCACACTAATAAACACAATTAATATAATGTCAAATAGCACAATTACTATACTTACTCTTGGGTAATAAAATTTTGGCTTTGTACCCATTACATTTCTTCTTCGCACATTATATTCCTCCATCGATTTACACGTATAGGTTAAAATTAAACATGAATAAAAAATATTCAATTCTAAAGTTAAATTTGAGTATAAAAAATAATACAACCTACCCACTCAAAGTGTTGATCAGAACGTCGAGCAGTGTCGAGTGCACCGAGTAAAATACAAATATATTATTTTTCTTGGGACATATGACAAGTAGTTGCCAATGTCGGCTGCATAAACATTCAGAATAATTAATAATATGAATAAAATTGATTTATAAATGAAAATACAAATTAATATATACTTACTCGCGGTAAAACAGGGCTACATAACAATCTTTGATGCTCCCTCTCTCCATCAACTTATCATGTAAGTAAATTCTGACTTCTTTACCTGAAGAATCGCGAGTAAGAGCAATCTTCACAACATCTAAGATACAATACTTGTTTAGTGATCGTGGGATTTGTACTTATGTATCCAATGATTCAGACTGCAAGTGCACAGTCTTATCGTGTAGTGTTAAAAGATATCGAACCACAAAGACTGATGAATCGATCTACCGTTTTCTATTGTTACTTCGCAAATCTAAAGCTAATGAATATTTGATTGGATTGTAGGGAAAACTAAATACTAAATTAAGTTGGATTTTAATAATCAATGAGCTTAATTACCAGTATGCAACAGTCGTACCTTGGGAACTAGCGACCTGTTGGGCGTCTTTATATTTTCAAAACAGCTTTCAGTAAAACTTATTTAGTTTAAAAACCCTCGTCTCACACTGTCGTTTTGTTGATCTAAGCTATGCAGTTAAGTCCTAACGTACGCTTCCGCCATCCCGTAGAAGTTAAAAACACTTTTTGAAAACTAAACAAAATCTTAATTAACTTTAAAGTGCTTCCGCTGTATTTTAAGCAAATGCCTAATTACTACTGTCCAGTTAAAAGATCTCAAACTTCCGCTTTGTTGACCCTAACCTCTATCTGTTTTTTACTTCCGTAACAAAACAATTTAATGATTGAAAAAATAGTAACTTAGGCAAGAAAAGAAAGTTTCGTAGTAAAAATAATCCCGACTAAGTTACTCGTTCCCTCGATTGAGTGACTTTACATACCGGTATAGGATTTCTAGCCTGACATAATATTAAACCAAATCGCAGAATAATTTAAAGGACAAACACAAATAAACATAATTATATTGATTAAAAAGCAATAAGAATTTGTAAACGTAAACCTGGTAATAACTCTGAAGACAGAAGCACTCCTGCACAAATTGTAGGCTTTGCTTCGATCGGAGGATATATTTAACCGTACAGAAGAAAATAATACTGGAAAGGAATATAGAAATAGCTGGGAAATATAAATAATACTGAAAAGAATATTCGCTCAATAAAATCTCTAAAGTTTCTTGCCAAAAAGAAGAACCCTTTCTATTGTGGTCTAAGGCTCTATTTATAAGTCTTGCGTGATCAGTTGCTCTCGAAAATGTAGGAACAATTTACTTCCTTCTTTGAGAAATAATAGGGCCATTAGTCTGTCACTTTCCTTGGTACTTTGACTGAGTGGGTGAGAAAATGTAGGTAGTCGCTGGATTAACCCTTGAACACGTTTTTGTCCGTTGGATGAGAAGAAAGTGGAGTAAGTGGCTTGTGACGTTCGTCACATTCAAGTGACGATAGTCACTTGGTCTTCTTGGCGTGTGACGTTCGGCACGCCTCCTTGACGGTCGTCAAGGCCTTCTTCATTGTGGGCCACGTGCTCACATGTATAATGGGCTTTGGGCTCATTTCTTCTC